AGCAAAAACTACCAACTGTGTGTTGGAACTACAAAAATACGCAAAGGAAGTGATTTACTTGAGACAATGCGAGGCCACTCATGTGATTCCAAAACAGAAGATTTTAGCCATTTGGAGGCGATGAAAAGAATGAGAATCAAAGCTGCAACTATACAAATTCCATCACGCCAGATTTACATGGAAATCATTCGAGACTGTTCTGAAAACATTAAAAATTCTTTATCCTACTTAAAATGTGAACAGATACTTCGTGGTGCAAAAAAAACTCAGTACAGTGCAAATCCCAACAGCGTAGGAGAAGCAGTATTGGCAATATCTGAGCCAAATCGATTTACCAACGTTCTGAAAGGAATCGTCAGATTTGAAGACCAGTTTGCCATACTATTTTGTTCATCAGCACTACTACAAATACTCTCAGGTAGCACAGTAATTTAGCTCAAAATTGATGACTTTTTGTAAATTTTTTTTTTGAAATTGATTTAACATCTTTTAACCTTAGCTTGCTCATAATATTCTGTTTTTGTTATATTTTTCAATTCTCTTACAAATTTATTCATTTTTTTCAGGATCTACAATTATTTTCATTGATGCAACATTTCGCGTTGTTCCTAGCATCTTCAAAGGAGGTCAACTACTAAATATCTCTATTATGCATTGTGACAATGTCCTTCCTGTGTTTCATGTACTTATGACTGGGAGAAAAGAAAGTGTTTACATTGCTATATTTAGAAAAATTAAGGAACTTTCAAGTGACTTTCAATCACGAATTTTTATGGCTGACTATGAAGCAGCAATAGGCAGTGCCTTGAAGGTTGTCTTCCCTTAAATAAAATTGACTGGTTGCTGCTTTTATTACGGCCAGGCAATTTTAAGAAAAATCAAAGCTGTTGGTCTTCAATCTTAGTACATTAAGGTGGTACACCACTAAAAAGCACTTTTTCAATTTAAAATTGGAATAAAACCAAAAACTAATATTTTTCTGATTATAAATTTATAAAAAAAAATATTTGAAATGAAATTTTTTTCTAAAAGTTTTTTTTACATCCATAATGGCGGAAAAACTGCTTAAAAAATGCATAAAATTGAATAACTTTGTGACGTGATATCTTCCGTTATATACATTTTCTCTAGTTCAAACTTAGTATATTGTTGCATTATAATGTTTTATTCCGGTTGACAGATGGATTTTTAATTTAAGGACATATTTTAAGTTTTATTACGAATTATTGAAAATATGCTTGAAATTCTAAGTAATTTGACTTAACATGTGAACTAATTTCTTTATTTAAAAATATTTAAGAAGAATTTTTTAAATCGCATCTGTTAACCGAATTTCTTAAGTATATTGAATATACCCTGAAAATTTCAGGCAAAAATCATTAGCCAATACAAAGATATTACGTTTCAAAGTTACCCTAGTATTACAAAAATGAAAAACTGTAAAAAACACATTTAAAGTTTTTTTCCAGTAAATTCTTGGTTAATGTCCACCAGAAACATATGACTGATTAGTTTCATTTGAATTTTGTTTATCACTGAACCCTTTGGCTGTTGATCTTAACTTTTTTCTTTGCTTTATACACTTTTGTGTCGACTTTCGTTTCATTTGATTCACACGAGAATTGTCAAACTGAACAGATGTTATTACTGTTACATACCCAGTCAAATTGAACTCTTTTAAAACATCCAAAATACCTTTACTACCATCATTAAAATGAATAACAGCAGAGTAAGTTCCCATTTCAACTGTTTCTCTACTGACAAAAGTGTTTTTGGGAACTCTAGACCATATGAGGGCATTCAAGGACTCATTAGGATTTCGTGTCTTACCATGAAGGCATTTAGATAGCAGTTGATCGTCTTGTAAGCTTTTAAAAATTGTTATTAGCAGGTTTTTAATCCAGACTGGAATTGAATTTGATGGTATATACTGCTTTGTTTTACTCCAATACCTGCACCAGCTTTCAGAATCACGAGGACAAAACAGATGACGCTCATCTTGATTTAGAATATTTGTAAAGTGGAAAAGAAAAGCATATATAGACTTCTTCATAGCATAAATATTAGTAGTGTTTCTTCTAATAGCAATGCCATAGTAGTTTTGCATCGAATTTATTATCTTATCTGTCAGTTTATTTTTACCAGACAATGGTGTTTTAGTGCCACTATGTAATTTTACTAAACTCCGTAATCGGGTACCCATACGCTTATAGTATAGTTCAAAACTTTCAAAGTATAGTTCAAAACTTTACGAATATAAAAAAGAAGCCTAGCATAGCCTAGGTATATTTCATAAAAAAGAAGCCAAGCATAGCCAAGCTTAAGCATAGATTTTAGGGATTGAATTTGGGTTTTTTATTCTGTTGCTAAGGCGTTGCTATGGTCAAAATTATCAACAACTTTAGAAAAATGCATTTTCAAAGTGTTTTATGTAATTGAACAATATAAGATGGTTATATCAAATGAAAAAGGATAAAGTTTGGAAAAAAACAAGTCCAAAAACTAAATTTTGAAATTTTACTCCAAAATCACTGTTTTTTTAGTGGTGTACCACCTTAACAACCCTGCAATTTAGAGGTTGGGCCGGGAATTTGTTGCCAGGTGCCTCTTGCCTTGTGTTCTCATCAGAGCAGATGTAGATTTACTCAAAACAGAGATGAGTCGATTTGCAAACATTGAAACTCGTGAAAAAATAAGAAAGTTTGTGTATTACTTTGAGAAGTATTGGATGACAACACAAACCCCAGCTTTTTTTTCTGTGCATGGACTTCAATTCAAAACCAACAATGTCTCGGAATCACTGCATTCAAAAATGAATAGATGCATGGCTGCTCACCCTAGTTTCTGGAGGTTTCTAGACGATATATTATCAGGTATTGCCATATTTAAATGAATATTGTAAAGGATAAATTTCGTCGATTAAACTCATAATAAAGTAACTTGATTTATTTTGTAATCCCTTACGGCATTAGGGTCTCTTCTGATAGGTGTGAATCATCATATAAATTAGCTATCATAATTTTACAATCGCACTACTTAAATTTGAACCAAGAAATATTTTACAAATCAAACCATTTGTTCGTATTTTGAAACGACTTGAAAGTGTGAAAATGCATCAAAACTATCACAACAATCGTTTAAGTATGACCTATGGGGTTCAACAAAGGTCAATCCTCGGACCCCTCCTTTTTTAGTTTATATAAACGATGTAAATAAAGCAACTAATCTGATCAGCATCATGTTCGCTGATGATAGTAATTTATTCATCTCTAAAAGTGACATTAGCGAATTTTTTGCCACCGTAAATAAAGAACTCAAAATTTTATCTTTATTGATGAAATTTAAATAAAAAGAGACTCCGTTATTAAATTCTTAGGTGTTTATCTCGATGAGAACATTAATTGGAATCAACATATTAACTATGTATGCACTAAAGTATCTATAAACATTGGAGTTTTATACAAAGCTCGAACTTATCTTAATTAAAAAAACTTAAGACAACTTTATTTCTTATTTATTCACTGCTACATAAATTACGCTAATATTGCCTGGGGAAGTACTGAAAAAAGTAAATTACGTCGTCTTTATCGCTGCCAGAAACTAGCAATTTGCATAATTAATCTTGCTGATCTTTTTTCTCATTGTAAGCCTTATTTTATTGAAATTAAAATTTTAAATATATTTGAACTCAACGTTATGAAAATTTTATCCTTTTTTTATATGCGGAAAATCATCTTTCCCCGCCAGTCTTTAAAGATCTTTTCAGTTTAAACCCCAGCAACAAATACACTCTTTTAAAAAAAAAATTTTAAGGAACCTTCTTGCCAAACCAATTTAAATTAGTTTTGTCTTGCCTATCGTGCATCGCACCTTATTTTTATTATTTTTCTTTTAAGTTTTGTTGTTTACAACTATTTATATTGTTTTTACATATGTACATGTGGCTTATATTATTTTAAGTTTTGCTTAAGTAAAAAATTCTATATATATATTCTACTTTATTGTAACGTATACTTTACAAGGTATTCGTAAATTAATTTGTTTGTTAATGTTTTTAAGGTTCCGATGATAAGATCTTATTGATCTTCTTTTGGAAACCTAGTTTACACTGTTATCACACATTGTATATATATATATATATATATATATATATATATATATATATATATATATATATATATATATATATATATATATATATATATATATATATATATATATATACATATATATATATATATACATATATATATACATATATATATATATACATATACATATATGTATATATATATATATATATATATATATATACATATACATACATATGTATATATATACACATTCTAATATTTCGATAATTTTTTCGTGAATATTTTCGGTTGTGTAATAAATTTCTCATATTCGGTTCTAAATTGAAATAAGGGATTAGGTTGAATCATAGGACGCCCTACTGCTGAGCGGTTGTTTGTTATTTTAATTTTTTTTCTTGGTCGTTTTTCTCAGTTTGCTATTTCTGCATAATTTTAAGTCGCCATTTCAGTTATAAAGTATTCCTAATTAAATATATCCTTTTTCAATTTGATCTAAAAATATATCAATTTATTAATTTGATCTAAAAATTTTATATACGTATATTTTATAAACGTATGTAAAATACGTATATTTTGTATACGTAATTATTTTCCTTTTTTTAAAATAGAGTTTCAACTATAAAATATGAAATACTCAATAAATTTCAAACTTTTTGTCAATTACTTTTAACAAGTAAATATTGTTAAAAAGTTATTGAGGAAACAATTATATAGTTATAGGGTATATTTTGGTTTCCAATAGTTTATTGAGCCCATAAAATATTTTTGAAATATTTTTTTCTTATTTTTAAAGCTGATCATCGTATTATATGCATTAAAAAGTGTTTTAAGATCGTAAGAAAGTAAGACCACGTTAAACCAATAAAAATTTGAACGTTTCAATAAAAATCGAACAAATGTAAACAATTACGTTTAAGAATTTATGTGGGAGTAATAAAACTAAAATTACTCAGAATACATACAAATACTGCAATAAGTCTTCAAATAAAAAAATAGAAAAAAAAAACAAATATATATATATATAAAAATTTTTAAAAAATAAAATAGTTAGAATTAAGTAATTTACATATTAAAAAAAAACAAAAAACTATAATTTACTTATGTGATAACTTTTATTAACTATAAAAAAATATGAAAAAAATTCAAAATTGCTTCATAATTTTTGGAAATCTTATGCTTTTCTGATACCTTAATTAAAAAAAAAAACAACAACTAAAAACAAATTTTTTCTATGTTTTGTTAAATCTAGTTTTATGTTTTAAAAACCAATTCTATTTTTTTTTAAATAGTTTTTAAATTTAATATTTTTTAAAGCCAATTTAAAAAAAAATAGGTTAAAGTTCAGTTTAATCTTAATACTTAATAATAAACTTTAATACTTCAATCTTATACTTCATCGTATCGTATTGTATCGTATACTGTCACGAACCTTATACTATATCGTATCGTATTGTATCGTATAAAAATATAAAACTTTACGCGAATGTCGCGCAACCTTGTAAAAACCTCAGCTTACGCAACTTTTTTTTCATACAATTCATATTTCTTCTCATCACACATAATTCATCATCATTTTTTACTTTAATTTAATTTGTTTGTCGCTACTGGCTTCATGTTTTTCATTTGTTCTTTGAGCTGCGCTTTAATGCCTGAATTATTTTCAGCTTGTACAGGTATCATCCAGCGCTGAGGATGCTCATCTCGCTTCTTCACTTCTTCTGAAAGATTATAAAACTTCTCTGATTGACTTCTTTTTTGCCGCTCTAGGAAAATATCTTATTAATTCAATAAAAATAAAAAAAAAGTTTAATGTTTAAAGTATTAAAACACTTGCATTTATTTTAGATATTTTTTAACCCTGTTTTAAAGTATAAAAACTTAACGAAAGATCAATTTTTCTTAACTTTGTTTTTTTAATTTCAAAGTTTACTCACAAAATAGAAACAAGAGTTTTAAGGGAGACTGCAAGATAAGGGTGTATATTTTTTTTTCGATGAAAAGATGAAAAAAAAACTTACAAAATATTTTATAAAAAAGAGTTTATTTATAACTTTTGAATTTTAAATTTTAAAAAATCATGAAAATATATCATTTATTTTATTTTAATTGTGCAAAAAACAATGCAAAGCTAATCAAGTTTCCTTCACGCCAATATAATACTCATGTGCTGAGCTGGCAAGGCCAGGGTTTGAAACTACGATACTGTTACATATTTTAGGCAGCACACTATCCAAATGAGCTATCCCAGCTAGCAATCTATTTGTTTAAATCACTAATGTAATCACTTAAAATTTTGACCACTAAAGTAAAACTTAAAAAAATTGCTAAATGTCTACAAAAATAAACCAACTTTTTTTTAAATACTCTATTTTCATATATTAATTTATTAAAATCTTTATTTAGATTAACTTGTTTTAATTAAAACTTGTTTTAATTAAACTTAATTTTAATTAAATGTTAATGATTTCTTCTTTAGATTTCATTATTATGTAAATTTGATACTAAATTAAATAAATTGATAAAAAAATTGATACTTTTTAACTTAAAATTATATATGACTGCTTTTTAACTCTTAAAAGTTGCAAACTTAACAATAATTTAATTAATTTTTATTTTATATTGGCTATTTTTCATTTTATATTTATATTAACTTATTTAATCTATATTTTATTTTATTTAATATAACTTTTATTCAATATAATTAATTAATATTTAATATAATTATTTTATATTTAATATAATTAATTTATACCTAATATAACTAATTTATATTTAATATTAATATACTTAATATAATTAATTAATATTTTATTTTATATTAACCATCAATAGGATTGCTTTGTTTTTAACTTTGGAATCAACTTTAAAATACCTACTTGATTGTGAAGTATTTAAAAATATATTTATAAACAAAGTAAGTGTAAATAACTAAATTCTAAAAACAATCTGTTAGAAAAAGTAACGTATTGCTTTTTTCCGTTTAATTAACGAAGTAATTCGTAACCAAAAATCGCAAACTTAACGGAGTAAAATTAACTATTAACGGATTCTTCAAAACTTTGTTAATTCAACGGATTAAATATTCAAATCCGTTGAAAAACAACTTAACTTTTTATTTAAAAAGGGTTTCCATAAGAAATTATGAAGTGCTTCCTCTGTAGATTATATTTTTAAATCTTGTTTGTTTGAATTAGATATCAATATATTATAGATCTTTATTTATAAATGATAAAGTTTTAAAAGGTGTTTTTCTAAAAGCAAATTTAAATCGTAGATAAAAGTTTTGTTGCAGTAAGTTTAATTTTCCATTTTTTAAATAGTTTCACATTTCGACTAAGTGTGAAGCTATTTCAAAAAAGCGTAATTTAAATTGTGTTTATCCATTTGCTTTTTCTACTAAATTTTAGTAGAGAAAGCAAATCGATTTACGACAAAATCGAATTACGACAGAGTGTAATTTAAACACAGTTTAAATTACACTCTGTTATTTGTTATTTCGAAGGTTGTCAAACTTATTTTAAATTTTCTATATAAAGCATTGAATATATTTTTAATTTTTTTAATATGATAAACTAAAGGTTTAGTTGAAAAATTATTTGCATAATATAGACTATATGTCTTGTATAATTTTCTATTTTAGACGTGACATGTAACTTACGATATAAATTTATATCAGTTGTAAAATTATAGTTGTAAATTTCTTTTGATGGGTATCTTTATTTGGATTAGTTGCAGCTATTTTTACATAGAGCTAATTTATATGCTTTTATATGTGCCATGCAATACCACACTGTTAGTTTCATCAGTTGCAATATAAATTATTTGTAAAATGTTTACTTGCATTTTTTTATGGGTATTTATTTAGGCTAGTTATTGCAAAGTTTATATATGGATTGTTATAATTTGTATATTTAAGTTTGTTCTCTCGAGCCCATAATAAAAAAAAAGGTAGGGGGGCATTTATTATTTTTTGAAAATTTTTCCACCCACTCCAAGCTTATTAAGACCCCCCCCCCCTGTTTATTAATTTTTACTTGTTATCAATAACAAAAAAAAAAAAAAAATCGGTGAAAATGGGCTTTAAAAATAAAAAAATTATTATTTCAGTCACTGATAAAAACAAAAACTTTCAGTGTAAACAGGCTTTAAAAATTGCCGACCAAGTAAATCTCAACTTGCAGAAAATTTACTTTCCACAAGTCAAGATTATCAGCAGTAACTTATACCAGCATATTAAATCCTATTGAAATTATTATAAAGCAGCTATTAAATAATGGGCATTTGACCACAAGCCACAATTTAATTTGACACGAGTTAAAATTAAAAAAATAAAAATAAAAAAAATACTTTTATTGTAACATAAAAAAATTTCCTCCCCATCCTTTTATTAACCCCCCCCCCCTCCTGTTTATTAGATCTGGAACATAACCCCTTGCATTTCTTTTAATAGGTATATTTATTTAGGCTATTTATATATGCTTTTATTATTGACTATTTTAGGCACGTGGCATGCAATATCACACTGCAAGTTTCATCAGTTGTAAAATGTTTACTTGTATTTTTTTAAATGGGTATTTATTTAGACTAGTTACAGCAAAGTTAATATATGGATAGTTATAATTTAGTATATTTAAGTTTGTATATGCTTTTATAAATTGCTATTTTAGTCATGCTATATCACACTGTAGGTTTAAATTAGTTGTAAAACTATTTATTTTTTTTTACTGGCAATTTTTTAATGTTAGTTACAACTAAGTTTATATATTGCTTGTAGTTTTATATTGCTTTATATATTTATATATAGCTTATAGAACTTGCTTATTTAGACACGTGGTATTTAGGCATGAGGTATGAAATTTAAATTCTAATAACAATACTTTTAACGTGTTCATTATTATTAAATAAAAAGGTGAGACTTTTTTTCTTTGATTCTTGGTGTGTGTAAAAATTTTACAACAATTGATGTGTGAAAAAACTTTAGAAATTTTCACTTAGCAGGTAAGACTATCTTTTGTTGCGCATTTATTTTTTGTTTATTACATTGAAATGTAGAACTAATAAAATAACATAATTTTTTATTAGCAATTTAGAAATAAAGAATTAGCAACAAATGTTTCTTACAGGGTTATTAGTAAAAAATTTATTTCCATTTTGTATTATGGTATATCATTTATATTCAATATTTTCTTTATTATAGATTTACACATACATTTCCTATTTATTAAATACTTATATATGTTTTTTATAATTCACTTCCGACAAGGTTGCAAGCAACCACTATTAAGTAATGAGTTACTAGAAAACCAAGGATTGGGTTGAAGAGAAAGGAAGTGGTTAACTGAATACTAAAAAATTTGTAGATTGTATAAGTCAGAAAAACATGAAGATGAGTGAACATTTTGAGGATTTGTTGATATGCAAGAAAAAGAGCCAGATGATTAAAAAATTTTGTAGCATGGAAAGTCAGATACATCAAATGGATGTAACTATAAGAATGAGTTTTGATTGATTGAAAAAAGTAGAAAAAAGAAAGTGATACAACCTTATAACTTATAAATATGGGAGAGTGGCTCAAGCTAGGCAGATAAAGCAGGTCCAGCTACATTTACAATCTGCTTTTGGACTTTGTCTCAGAGTGAGAGGGTTGTTTTTTATCAATATAAGATTGTTAACAATTTTGTGATGGTTGTTTGCGACGAATAACTGAATTTGTTGGAGTTAAAATTCACAAGCCACTGCATGCCCCAAGCAGTTACAGAGGAGAGATCAGAATAAAGATTGGCTGTTTGCCCTAAATGATAAAAAAAAAGTGAAGATTTTTTTGTCATGACAAGAGTATAAATTTGTATTGTCAGCAAATAGAGCCAGATGTAAAATTATCAGAAAGATTATTGTAGATAAGAAATAATACAGGAGCAAAGATGAAACCTTGTCGTATTTCTAAAGTTACTGGAAACAATTAGTTAATCTGTTCAACAGAAATGGCAGAAAAAGTATGGCTATTGGATTCAAGAGTCAAACTAGAGGAAGAGTTTTTTGCAAATAACTTTGCCTTATTCTGGGAGAAGTAATAAGATCAGACCCATTAATTAGAAATAGAGATGGAATGCTAGACTTAATTTAGTTAATGACACTGTTAAGGATTTTGTAAAAGTAATGGAGCTTAGCATCAAACAGGAACTTTTTCACATTTTTCATATTCTTGCAATAATAAAAAGATATTTGTTCTCATAGTAGATATAGATATTTTTGTAAAAATAACAAAAAAATGATTGCAGTTCAATATATCAGCTGCACAAACAGGTAAAAAAAGCAGAGTAGAATGAGGCTTGACTTAAAAAAGACAAGAAAAAAGAAAAGTTTGGATCCAGGTTAGGTAAGATACATTAGGGTGGTCCTTAAAACAACTTTTTTTTAAAATAAATTTTTAAATTATAGGGACCCTCTCAATTTGTTCTTTATAATAAAATACTAGAATTTAAAAATTAAAAAAAAAAAAAAATTTTAGGAGAAGCTCAAGACCCTTAAACTGATGTTTTTCTATAATTAATGAAAAAATAGTTCTTCAAAAGAATATTATGTTGGATCTCAAAAGAAACAAAATCATATAAAAACTTCAAAAATGATCATCATTTTATAAAAAAAATTATTTTTTTACATTTCACTGCCTACAAAATGACATTTTTAAACTAAAAAATAAAACAATGCATTTTTACAAAAAGTTTTCATTATAATTTTTAATGAACTTTTGTTTTGATAATTATAGGGACCCGTCTGACGTTTAAAGGTCTTGTTTAAAAGAGTTTTTTTACAAATATATTAAAAAAATTTTCTTATTCAATATTGTCTATATTTCTTTTGACCTAATTTATCATAAATGTTTACATTTAAGTAAAATATAAACATAAATGCTACCTAAAAATATAAACGTAAATGTTATGTAAACAATAAACATAAATGTTTATTGTTTACGTAAATATTTATTGTTTAAATAAGCGTAAACAATAAACATAAATGTTTATTGTTTACACCTATCTTATTGGTAGATAAAATCTCTCTAAAAATTGTTTATAATCAATTAATAATATTTGATTGAATACATAATATATATATATATATATATATATATATATATATATATATATATATATATATATATATATATATATATATATATATATATATATATATATATATATATATATATATATATATATATATATATATATATATATATATTAAAAAAGTATGAATAAAAAATTATTAAAGCATAAAAAAAAACATTGGTTTAAAAAAAAAGCAAAAGAGTAAGTTTACTTACGTAATTCTTGATTTTTTATTTGGAATCTATCTGCAGCACTTCTGCAGGAAGGTACAGTAAAGTGATATGATACTTTTAACATTTTATTATTTTTATTTAGAAGCCGAGCAAGTGCTTCTTCACCTTTGCTACCAAGTCCATGTTTCTATATGAATAAAGAGCAAAAAAGACTGCATTCATAAAATAAAAATTTTAAACAAAGTTAATTTTAATTCAAAACTTACAGTGACGGATTAAAGAGGATACAGCTGTGGTTAAAACTTTATAAATCATAGAGTCTCATAACAACTGTAAACCCATAATCCGTCACTTTAAGCTTATTATTTCTTACTTGATGTGAGCACTTTAATTCGCGTATTGATGGATGATTTTCAAGAATTCTGCAAAGTTTCTAAAAAAAAATGTTGTTACTGATTTCTGTTCTAGAAAGATAACATCTTAATTTTCAAAAAAGCTAAAAATGAAACCTCTATAAAAGAAGGGAAAGGGGTTCAGTATATATAGAGTAATAAAAATGATACCTCTATAAAAGTACTGGTTAGATCGTTTGATTCAAGGTTAAGTGTTTCTAAACATGTGTTTGTCTTTAATGCTTGAAGTAAGGGCTGTAAAAAATTTTAAAAATCTGATATGTGCACAAAACATATTTTAAAAAAATCATCAAGAACATTGAAAACATTTTTATTTTTTGTTAAATTATTATTTTTGACAATTTTTTAAAAAATTTTAAAAAATAATAATTTGAATACTAGCTGTTCATACCTGTAAAATACGGGTCTCTGTAAGTCTAATCTACACCGACCATTTCTACACTTACTCCTTACTTTATTTATTTTTAGTAAGTAGAAAATCTGTACATATTGTCCTTTCAAAGTTATGAATAAAAAATACATTATAACATCATTAATTTAAATTTTTTTAGACATGTTGGTTGTTGTTGCAGAAACCATTATTTATTAGTGGTTTAGATATAAATACCCAAAGCAGGTATTCTAAATAATATTTAGAATACCCGCTTGAAATGTGTTGATTATTTGAATTGATTTTTGTTGAAAGGGCGTAAGTCACAAAACATAAACTCTTAAAAAATTAAAAAAAACTTACACTTGACTTACACTTAAACTTACACTTGACTTGGAGGTTTATTGTCTCAATATGGATACAGCTATAAACTTCCTGCTAAAACAAATCATTGAGATTTTCAAACAATAAAAAACCATATCAAATTTATTTTGACAAAATACTTGACTTTTGCCCTTTTAACAAAAAGCAACTCAATTACAACTGGTATAAAAGATTCTTATGATACATAACTGATTTCTCATGATTGTATATATATTATTGTTCTAATTTTCTAACCTTAAAAACTTAATTTAAGCTTATGGTTTGAAAACTAAAATGTTATTTACACTTCTTATAAACTTGTTTTATCAAAACTCTATTTATGTATAATTATATGTAAAAAGTACCAAAGAACATGTAGTAAAGCTAAATTAGCTATTAGTATATGTTTTATTTTGTGCACATTACATCAAAACAAACTTCTATTACGAGCTCCTTTTTAAAAACTTGATAGTGACACAACATGGCCAAGTATCTTTGGCGGACTACTGGCAGGAAAGTGTACTGAAAATACTCAGGATATAAATCAATTTTTGTTTAATCATATTGAAAATCCATTAGTAGATGACTGTATTTGAGAAGAAATAATAGATAATAATAGATATTAATAGATAAATACTAATGCTAAAATAATAATGATCTTTGCATTATTATTCAAATAATAGTCTTTGATCGCAGATCGTAGCTGCGATCAAAGACTATTATTTGAATATTGTAAAGGCTTTGATAGAGTTTCTGAAAAATCAACTTCCTTAAAACAAAGTGCAATATGGCTAACTTTAGCATTTTATCTTCTCTATTTATATACTAGAGAAAACAAAGTTTGTTTTTGACTAAGTCAAAAAAGTTATAATCTTTATTCTAAAGCAAATCATTGCAAACAATGCGTTATGTCTAAAACCTTAAAAAAATTCTTTATGCCATGGTAAATGACATGAATAATGACTACAGAATCCAAAATTTTAGGTTTTATAACTGACTCTAAGGCAAAGGTTGTAGTTAAGTAAGATATTTATAAAAATTTATAGTTATAATTTATAATATGTTGTTTTTAAAAAAAAATAACGTATGTGTAATTAACTTTAGTTTTTATTTATAGAATAAACAAAATAAGAAAAAGAAATTGAAGAAAGTCCTAAAAATTAATTTTAATGCTAATCACTGGTATGAGTGGATTGACATCAGTGCTGCAGAAGTTATAGAACCCCCTAAAAAACAACATTTTTCAAACTAAGAAATCCAACTTATAATTGACAATAAGGTTAAACCAGAAACTAAAGACTTCCCATCTCACTCCCAGAGTGTAGAGCCAGCAGTAAAACCAGTATTCAAAACATCCAATATGTTTATGAGTTTGACACCATTTTATTTAAGTAATTAAGCAGAAAGATGCGTAAAAAATTTTAAAAGAACATTACTGCCATTTTTATAATGATATTTTTTAATTGATTGAATAATGGTTTACTTAAAAAAATATCCTTGATAGGAATGTTTTAAATTGTGAATTGTTTTTATACTCATATACAAATGAATCTTCAATCACTTGCACGTAAAAGTTTTGGTTTTCAAAATCTTCAAACAGTTACTAAATTAATTATTAACTCTAAGTTTAAATATTATAAATATAAAACTTCAACGTATTGATTTTTTCCGTACTGTTTAACTTATATTAAAATATTTTTTGCATAATAAATTTATTTTTAGCATAGAAAATCCAAGAATTCTTTGAATTTTTGAATTTTCCTTATTTTTCTTGTGGTTTATACGACTCTTTGTCAAAAATCTCTAATATTTTGAGAGTAACCATATTTCAACTACCTCCAACTACTACAACATTATGCAGTATGTGGTAGTAAAATTTTAAAATTTAAAGCACATAAAATAAATTAAGAAACTATGTTCTTAGATACTATTATTATTATTTGAATTCTTAGATATTATTTGAAAGCGGGAGACTAAAAATCTTTTTTTTAAGGGCATTTATATGTATTTATATATTTATATATATTTATATTATTATATATTTATATACATGCACTAAACTAAATTATATACTAAAATAAGTTTATATTAAAAAACGTTTTGGATTTGTATTCATTGTACAAAACATTGATAGAAAAATAATAATAATAAAAAGCATTTTAAAAACCTAAATAATTATAAACAAATATTTATATTATTATAAATATTATACTTCAACTTTATCATCAGTCAATCCAGCAGCAGCAAGCATCAAATGCTTTATTTTTAAACTTGTGGCAAGCGAGTCAAAGATTGCTTTAAGAATATTAATTTCCAAAGGAATATTGTTAATACAAATACTAAACAGATCATCTTCATCGTTGCGTAGACAATGCATTAATATAACGGAATCTAACTCTAAATCTTCTCCAGATACAGATTTCAAAATTCTCTTTTCTGTTCCTTTTATTGGCTCTACAAAACAACCAAGGATAAATTAAACATGTTACTAAAATCCTGGAAAACAAACTAAAATGGCATAAAAAGGTTCATAAAAACCTTAAACTAGAATGTTAAAAGAATCATAAGCTTGTGTCATTACTAAGATTAAACTGTGCTTTTTCCAGTTTTTTCTAGTTTCAATATAAACTGTATGTTTATATTGATCGCTGCGTGACTATATTACATGCACTTCAATGAAATAAAAAAACACAAAAACTGCCCAAAAATGAATTCATGAAATTTAAACATTTTGATAAAAATATTGTTGAGGATAAGGTTTAAAGTTGTCATTCAAGCAATTTTTGTCTAACTTTAATTTACTTTATCAAGAAAACACTTATCAGACGATATAACTAGAAGAACTACAGAATGGATATATCAAGTGTGAATGTATCTGACATGTCAAATGTAAAGTAATTTCTGCTGTGCAGCAAAATTTCTAAACTATTAAAACTTTAAAATAAAATAAAAAAGAATTACATTCTTTATTTCATGAGTTATTATCATTAAAGATTGTTGGAGATATAAACAAACATGATATGAAAATTAGGTTTTTATAGAAAAGCTAAAAACTTTTATGTGCTAAGAGCTAATAAATTAACATCCCAAAAAAAATATCAGTTTGTAACAACAACGATATTCTTAAAATGATAAAGATTTACATTTAAAGAAAATAAGAGTGTTAGGTTAAAAAACACAAGGATTGTGTAAAAAAACATAAGTGTAATGTGAAAAAATATGGAAAAACAATTACTTCATTCCAATGATTACACTTCTATGCTATTCAAGGTTACAATTTTAAGTATTTAAGAAACAAAGTGTGAATTGTTTTCTTAGTAAATTGAAGATAAAATTCTAAGAAAACATTTAAACAAACTTTTTTTAAGTGACTATGATAAAATAATGATATGAAACTTTAACAGGAAATTTAGACAAACTTCATTTTAGCTTAAAAATAATAATTTTAAAATCAATACTTTAGAAATTATCTCTGGTGATTGTTAAGTGCAAATACAAAATGCTGGAGGATTTTCCTAGCCACAATACTTATTGTCAAATTTTGCATCATTGAATATTTACATTATTAAACTAATAATTTTATTACCATGTGGTATTTTTTATTAGAGGTGTACCAGATATTTTTGCCGGATATACCAGATAATGAACTTTTTTCAAGTTCTATAAATGTTTATAAATTAAAAACAAGATTGCCTTTCTACATTATATAGTGTTCAAGATTTAAAAAAAATAAAGTCAATAAAAAACTGGTATAACACAGGTATATGTGTTAATATACCTGTATTATAAGGAAAAATGTATTATAATGTAACCTCAATTGATTGAAAAAACTAAAAAACCAAAAAATTAAATTAAAGTAAGCTCAAGCCCAAAAAAGAGTTTTTTAAATCTGACTTTTTTCTTGTTCACAAATTAATAAATAATAATTTCAAAATAAGGCCAATTCTAAATATAAATCTAATTATAATATATAATAATAATTATAAAATTTAAAAAAATTACAATAAAACTAAATTAAAAATTAAAATAATAATATATAATAATTATAAAAATATAAATCTAAAATATAAATTATGTAATGATGCAATGCTTTATTTTGTATACATTTTAACAAAAAACATTTTCTTCCTGAATTAGACTGTGCATCAATGGGACATAATGCCCAAAGAGTAATGCGAACTTATATTGACAGAATTGTAGCAGCTAAATTCATAGATGAATTTAGCTGCTACAATTCTGTCAATATAAGTTCACATTACAAATCTGTCAATATAAGAAAAATCTTCAACCATTTTATCAAAGCAGGCTTAGCGTTTGAGTTGTAAGAATGTATTTTGTTGTTGTTTTTTTAGAATTTTATATCAGCATAGACTTTTTTTGAAAAGTAGAAGACTTCATTTTTATATAGTTTTTTTTGTAGTTACAACCGCTTTTATTGAATTAACTTTTCTTAAAAACTTCGTTGTTGATCAGACATCAAGTTTATATTCAAGGAATGTTGAGAACATTTTAGAAACTATTGAGAAAAGTTTAAAAACTTATTTTTTATGTGCATGCCAAATTTTATTGAAAAAGATTATGTAGCAGACATCTAATTTTTTGTAACGGAATATGTACGTAAGTTGAAATGTTGTGGATGAAGCAAAATATTGCCCTTCTAGGAACAAAGTTCCATGACAAAACTACCAATAACCGAGTCTGACATTTTAAAACTGGTCGCAGTTTTATTAAGCAACCCTTGTATTAAAATTTTGTTACTTAAATAAACTTTTTGCAGAATTGTTATTTTGTTATGAAACTTTCACTATTGTAATGCTGATTTTAGCCTCATCCCAATGATGTATAATAACCAATAATAAAAATATTTTAGAATTTTTACACAAGTGCTGATCTAATAGTTTCTGATCAGCAATAAATTGCCAAACATAAACTATTAGAGGTCAACATCAGGTCGGCAAAAAAAAGTTAAACCAAAAGGATTACCATTAGGCATAGAAATGAGGTTGGTAGTTTTTTGCCATTCTCAAACGCATTTAGGTTAGCTTTTAGGTTGGTATTGCCAAATGCCAACCCTTATTTCGAGGACTGTATATGTAACATCTATTTTAGTCTTGTGCCTTGAAACTGAAACTGAAGCATTTTTTTTTGTAATACCTGGATTTTTTAAATACTTGCATATTTTTATTTTGAAAAAAGTGTAATATAATAAATGTATATATAAGTAATACCAAAACTAAAAACTATTCCACACATTGAAAATAAAAAAAATCATTACTTTTTTAAATTTCTAACTTTTGAAAAACAGTAATCAACTTTTACAAAGAAGCAATTAACTTTTGAAAAACAGTTATTGAAAGAGAAATAGAGATATAAGTATTCTTTAAAGTTTAATTTTCATTTCACAAGGAAATTTAAGATATGATTACTTGAGGCAAACAGAACTTACTGTTATGCTCCTGCATGGAGCTTAATACAAGCATTAATTTCTAGGTGCAATACATCATGTCAGATTTATGTTTAAGGTATCGTACTATATGATGATTTTCTAAATTCTAGACCACATATCAGGTTGCCAAGAAATGGAGAGAGAGAAAATTCATGAGTAAATTCTAGAGTTTCCTTCTTCATTTCAAAGAATAGCATCTCAGACGCTCATTGTCAGACAATCATCATAGGTTGAAACTTTCAAAATCATAATTGATTAAACTAGAAATAAAAATAAATGCCAAAACGCCAAATATTTTATTGAGATTCAACATCAAATTGTTATTTTAATGTTTAATTAAATGTTTTAGGCAAATGAAATATTTCAAATAGTTTAACAAACCTGGTGCTGCTGTAGTAAAAATTATGTTTCTTGGACACACCTGATATCTGGACCTGCATCTTGTTATCCTAGCCTTTTTGATCTAAAAAACCAGAATAGAGGAGATATGGCTAAAAATTCAAAATGTTCTCACTGCATAAACTTCAAGACCAGATTTTAAGATAATTAAGTTACAATAGTAAATTATTAACATACATGAAGAAGAAAAAGAAAAACAGGCCAGAAGAGGAGAATTTTTAAAAGATAATTCTTTTAAGAAAATAATATTTTATTCTGTGACGAAATAAAAAATTCATGATTATTTAAATACAATTATTTTCACTTGAAAAATTACACAAAATGTTTCACTTCAGTCGTTTTTTTTTTTTAATTGAATGATTTTTTTAATTAATAAATTTAAATATTGCTCTACCATAAAACTTTTATTTAAGAGAACTTGCCTCATTTATAAACATTTCTTTTAAAACTTGCACGCTATAATTTGGTGACATCAAAAATCATAACTCAAATTTGTATAGATGTTCATGAAAAACATTATGATTTAAAAATGGTAGTTTACATAACATGAAAATATATTTTTAGAAAAATTGTAAAAACGAGTCAAAAAGACAAAAATTCAATCCGTTTTTGATGAAAAAATGTCCCCCATTAACCTCAAATTTTATTAGAAATTAATCATGCTTTAGGTCTTTAAAATCAGCAAGAAATTTTTAAAGGATCCACCCATATCACAAAAAAATAATAATTAGATAAGAGTTTTGAAAAATTAAATATTTAAAAATTAGTAGTTTAATGGTTATTGCATAAAAAAATTTTTCAAAGTAAATTTAGAAAATATCAATGATTTTTTTGACAATCACACTTTTAGAAGTTTTTTACAAAAAAAAGTAAAGTTAGGACAAAAGTTCGTAATTCTTTGTTTTAATGTTTTTTCATTTGTTTGTTGCTAAATAAATATTATGTACTTCACTTTTCAACTTGATAACTTTTAAACTTTTATTTTTCATTAGCTCTATCTGATAGTATAATTCATTTTTTTCTATGCTTATAATTTTTTTATTTTTTTGTAGGTTTAATTGATGTTTAAGGGACAATTTTATATGATATTTTATTTTAACTTCAAATTGGGATAATTCATTGCTCAGATAGTACCCCAAACTAAACAAGTGTGGGGTCCTATTAGTGTTAGAGAAAGCACAGTGTAATGATGGTTTAAGAAGATTTTTTAAAAGATGCACCTCATAGTGGTCAAACTACAGTACTCTAGGACAACGAATTAAGGACTCTGGCGGAACTGACCCATTGCAAATGGCTTCAAGTAGTAACTAGACATCAGTCACCATGCAATTTCAGATGGTTTGAAACATATTGCGAGATGAAAAAGTTCAAAAGTGGGTGCCTTAATACTTGATTGATCAACAAAACTTGTCACATTTCAAGGTCTGCTTTTCTTCGATTCTGCAAAACCAGTATGATCTTTCTTTTAATCAAATGTTGACCTATGATGAAAAGTGGATTTTGTACAACAATTGAAGACACTCATGATAGTCATTGGATGCCTACAAGCCTTCAAAGCACTTCCATAAGGCAAAAACCCTGTTACTTTTTTCAATATAAGTTAATGATATTGTTTAACACATTAAAGTTAAATAAACTCAGCAATTCAGAATCAGAGATTATTTTATTTTTAAATTATATATAATTTATATACTTATTTCTTATACATAACAAAAATAAAATATTTTAGCAATTTAATTATTTCAAGTATTTATTTTAAACAATAATGAAAAGATTTGGAAGGAACTGCATCACATAATTAAAAAATATATTTTTGTTTCTTTTGATGTGAAAAATTTATATTCCACAAAAGAAAATCAAATCATGAGTTACAAAAATAACTTTTAATCCTGACTTAAAAATATTAAAGTTCAATTTTGTAAAAATATTTTTGTTTACTTCATGTAATTCACATTTTTTTATATGGTAAATACTATAACCAAACTAATGGTGTGACTAATGATTGATAATGATGAGTGATTGATGGTGTGAACATTTCATTTATGTGGCATTTAGAAAACTATTACATTTTTTTTTTAAGTTTAAACATCTTCACTTCCAAGAAAGCTGGAAGTAATCACTATTAGAGTCAGAAGTTAGTGGGAAAAAAAAAATGAAGTTTATAAAGCAAGATAACAGTTGAGACAACTTAAAAGATTGCAAATTATAATCAGGAAAATAAGATGAATCGAGTGAATTTCAAAGAACTAATAATCAAGGAAAAAAAATAGATGAATAAGAGTTTTTGGAACATTTAGGAACAGATTTAAATTTAAAAAGGATGAGATTTAATTGAACATCGAGTAACACAAGAATGAATT